ACACACACACACACATATATATGTATTAATAGAAATAAGACATGTCACGCTCTTCTTATGTCGCGTTCTGACATCAATGAACGATTGATTGCGAGTTTTGGTACGTAATGACAAATGTCGAGCGTAAAATAAGCATAATGCTATTCAATCAATTTCACGTCAACGTCAGTCTTCAATTGTTTTTCTTTCGCTGGTTTTCGGACAGCGTTTACGCGAATTAAGTAGTCGGTTATTTATTCGATGTATTCGCGATTAATTATCTGGTGTAGTTGGCACGGCGGAAAGTAGCTTCTCCAGCAAGTTGGCGCGCGTCTATTTAGAAAGCGCGTCGACGTGAATCCCCTCTTGACAAGGGAGACGCGTTACCGAGCAACACGCAACAGAGTTATGGCTCATTTAACCCGCTACTGGGGAACTGGATGAAGGGCTTCAAATGCAAAGCTATGGTTAAAATACAGCATCAGCTGAAAAATATGAAATACATTTTTTCTGCATTTAGGTACGCACATCCTTTTATCCCGGAATTATAAATACGTTACAGGCGAGTGTAACACGCACGCTGAAGAAAGATCTGGAAAGGCAGAGAACGGTTCTTACTTAACCCTCTTAGTGCCAAAGAGCCCAAGAATCTAAGAGTATCAGCTGCGCGATTCTTTCCCTTTCTAACATCTCTCTTCAACGTTTCGACTCTTCTTATTTTCACAAAATGTTTCTACTGAAAAGCAAACATACCTGGTTTACACTTTCCTTCTGTCAACGATGAGCTCTAGACGACATATAAAAAAATGGTAAGGTACCAAAAGTATTAACATATTCTTCATTTCTTACATTTATCCATTCTTATTGTCTCATATCATTTGCACAAGCAGTTTTGCCAATTTCTAACCACTGTGACGAAAGACTGCCAAAAGAAAGGGTTTGTCAAAGAAGATGAGAGATAATCTACGTTCAACAGTGTAAACGGGGACACTGCTTCAACGACTAAATCGCCATGAAATAAATTTTGCATATTTTGCACTATGAGCAATGAGAAGTAACGATGATGAAACAGGATAGCGTGTTTCGAAACTGATTCAGAGCAGGTACAGGACTGCAACCGGTGCTAGATACGAGCACGTCGCTCTTAAATTACTTCGTCCTGAATACTTTATTGACATTTTGGCTGAGGCTCAACTTCTGACAAAGATGCATTACATACGGCGCGCATCCGTATTTTAGACTGCGCTGAGATTTAAACTGTACCAGTATTCTCGTAATTAACGACACGTTGTCGCAATTCTACGTAATCAATCCGCTCTGCTCAAAAATCGTCGCCCGGGGCATGCTCGACCGAGCTGAGAGCAAAAAGCAGAATTACATTCCAAACTATTGTCCCTCGTTAAACGAATGTTCTCAGTTGTTTGAAAAATGTTGCCGCGATTCGATTCGAGGAAATTCTAATATAAAAGAGGGAAAAAAGAGAAAGCAATATCGCGGTTCTGTGGAAAGTTAACGATATTTGCGAGTCCGTTTCACCAAGCTGCGAGAGAAATAACGTTATCGTGCGTACAATATAACCTTCAGTTTATTTTCTACGGAATATTTGTCACATGCCTGAAGTTTCGCTCCGCGAACCGAGAGTTCCAACGTAGAGTTCTTTTCAATTCTTTTATCCATTACAGTCGTGCGTGACTTTTAAATGAGGTACTCGTTTACGAAGGCAATTAAAAGAATAGCAAAATCGTGAAAGTTAATTTTACTCGTTTAGTATTATACACGCCTCTTTATATATCACTTTTAATATTTCCCTGCTCTTTTTCTCTCCTTGCGTTTGAAATTCTGGTTTTTTCTGAAACTCCAAAGTGTCGTTATTTCTGTGCAGTATTGCGACAGTACAGCGTTGAAAGGAAAGTAGGTAGATACATAGGGTGATACAAAAAAAAAAAGGATTCGCAATCTTTAGAATAGGTAATATTCGCCGATGACGGAAAAAAGTTCTAACAAACGTGGCTCGAAAAAATTTATTCTGAAAGTTACAAGCAATTTTTTGTGCTTTGTTTCAGTCGGTAAAGCGACTGATTTAAATCCCTTGGATTTGTTTTTGTGAGGATTTTTTAACAGTACAGGGCACAGGTGAATTGTGTTAGGCAGTACAAAATGCTAATGAAATGGTCAGAACACGTCTAAAAATTTTTAAAGGAATACGCAATTTCTTTCATCGGGTTCATAAAACTAGGAAAAGAAGAGACGATAAAATAATTCATTGTTCCCACGATCCAATAGCTCTCGAAGCGAGAAAATCAATTGCTTTATTAGAACTTCTTTTCGTCATTTAGCGACTTAGAGGAGCTATTGATTCAGCGTAATAATAACAAACGTGAAACGTTTTTATAATTGAATGAAATGTGTCACAATAATATGTAACTTGGCAGAAATACAGTAGCCTTCGTGTGATGCAAATGTAGTAGTATCAATTGATGCATTGAACCTCAGAGCCATAATTATATCCATGCAATTGACAACTAGGCTATAAATCTCTCGTCTTTCAATGCTAAATCAAAGAGGACTCGGCTCGTGGCTGTGACGGGGCTTGCTTGGCCATTATTTCCTCAATTATTTTTGAGAAACGACAGGTTAATCTTTGCACGCTGAAATATTTCAGAGTTGCTTTAATCAACTCAGTAATTAAAAACCGAACTTACAAGGATAAATTTACAATTATTCAATGTTTGTACTGATTAAAAAACTTTGCTACTCGTTACCTGCAGGACAGTTTATAATTTTATAATCTTTTGAGACACGATATTCCCCGAACTAACTGGATTACTTGAAAACGTAATTATAGCAATAAATTTTGTCAAATTTTTCTCTTGAAACGACGTGTTCTGTCAATTTCTTAAAGAGTAAACCAAAGTTGCTAATTTGTCTGGGTTCTTGTACTTGGTACTATTTATTTTTCTTCTAAATTCTAATATTTAAAGAATTTAGATAAATAAATCATACGCGAATATTTTTGATTGTAAAGTTCATGATGTATCACACAGTGTATCGATTTTCATGGAAAAAAATTGATATCACGAATAGAGGGTCAAGGTGGCTTAAAATTGATCTACATATAAACTTGACAATGTAAAAATGCGACACGATATATTAATTATGCATACAAAATCGACACTGTTACATGATCGATAATGTTATTGGTGCAATTAGCAATATAATAAAACCTCAGAAATATTGTCACGGCTACTAAAATTTAATAAAATTTAATAAAAAGAAACGGAAGAAAGAAATGCACTTCCTACACGTTAATTTTAATAATAAAATTGTAAATAAAGTAAAACCGTAATGAAACGTAATTTACAGCTCGGTAATTTACGTGCGCAAAGAAAATTTTTCGAAACAAAAATTTCTTGCTCCTTTGCTGGTTTTTACGAATTTACCGTTTCGATTGCAGTGAGCCCTGTATATATTAATTATATTTGACCTTCATGTATAAAAATATTCACTATGTTTTCATAATTCTCGATGATATGGAACTAATGTCCCCTGACTCTTTCTTGAAAAGGTATCGTAAAGATACCAAACGCTAGTAACTAATAACGAGATTCTTTCATCGCCGGTTGTAAATTAAGAGATTGAAAAAGTAACGTTCTATCATATATAATACGTGTACCTTGTATTTCCGTGATGTAGCAGTGTCACAAAATGTCGATAGACTGGTTATGGTTACACTCTGGTTATACACGTATGTAAAATATAGCAGTTCGATCGATATGGTGCTAAACTACGAGCTACGCAACTTAATGCTATTTCCCAAAGCCTCTATAAGTGATCATATGTAGTTCGTACTGCAGAATGTGATCAATATCGAGGAGATTACAGTTTGCTATTTATTCGGAGATTTCGATACCGACGTACGCGTAATCCTCGTATACGTGTTATTTATTATTTTCTTTCGACTTTCGGTCGCAACGAGGTGTCCGACGACGAGACATTGACATCACACGAAACCGTGCTGACTCGTATAACAAGAAAATGTATCAAACAACTAGTGGTGACATGCGTCAAATAATTCAACCTAGGTAGGACAAGAATACCTGCGGTCCACGGAATACTTGTGCGCACCGCGATGAATAATAACACGGCGAGAAAATTCAACGCTGTGAAATTTGTCGGTTTAACGGAAAATGGAGACAAGCGTGCACGCATAGCCGGCGGTGATAGGCGCGTTTCGACCGCGCCCGATTTCGTACTCGAGGCACGGTTGTTCCAAATAAATCACAGAGAGCCGGCTTCGCTCTCGCTGTAGATGCGCTCGATTGCGGAGCGCCGGCTCGCCGCAAGCGTGACCGTGCTTTCGGAAATAAAAAGATCACGGATCGTGATGCAATGATGCACAAAGAATAAGAAAGAACGAGATACAGTGGTTGAAATGAAAAATGGGAGAAAACTTGTCTCCTGATTTGGTCAAAATGGCCCTTGGCTTTTACCGAAAAGATTGCTCTGAAACAGGCGTGTTTCACCCACTTTCCGCAAGTCCAAGACATTTTATCCGATTCTTCGTACTTTTCGCTTTTGGTAGCAAAATTTGCAACTTCAGCCCAGCCGCTTTTACATATCTACGTGCTTGTATATCCACATAAACACGTTGCGTGGTTTGAATGAAACGCTCGAATTGAAGCGGCAATTTGCGTCGAAACAATAATCGACCATAAAGCAATGAAAGCCAATCCAACTGGCTCGATTCCGCGGATGAACTTTGATATTCACAGTTTGTTCATTCGTTTTCCAGGTAAACGGATCGTGGAGCTTGCCCGGCTTTGTCTGTGACTTTTACATCGCAATGGACGTCACGTGTAGTACCAGTTCCATCTTCAATCTCGTAGCAATCTCGATAGACAGGTGAGCGATCTCTTTCGAAGAAGCAAAAGAAGAAAGTGATAAAAATTTCGTTCCTGAAATGAATCTCTCTTGCTCAAGCGAGACCCACGATCGATTTTCGACGTTTTGTCGGCTGAACCTCGGCTTTATCGTGCCCAAACAGTCGGACGGAACTCAAACTGTAACTCGTATGCATAAATCAAACTAATTTACGTAACTTTGCCTGCCCTTTAACGTCGAAAAGAAAGGGAAGGAGAGGACGAAAAAAGAAAAAAATAAACGGCAGTAGTAGCGGCGATTCAAAGTGCTGTTACAAACTAAAATACGACTTTCTTGCATCGTGTCACTTCACTTCATCCTGTCCGCAGGAAGG